CTCACAGATTTAATCAATTAGCACCACAGAAGAGGTCTGCATTTGCAGATGCTGGGGCTGATTCTCCTCACGCTGCTTCCAGTCAGGAATCAAGTCCATAAAACTACAGAGAGCAAGAGGAAAATACCAGTTCTTTTGCCCAGCACACAGCCTTCACTTGCTGGGTTTAGAACTCCTCAGCAGCCCCTGGGGTATAACCAACTTATTTATAGCTGTTTACTTACTAAACACACACAAGGGAAGGCCAAATGTCAGGGCATTGCTGCAAACTGAGCTGGGCCCTGCACATTTAGTCTGTCACACACAGGGATGCTGGGCCTGCTCTGGAGCTGGGGATGGAGCAGAGCCAACCAAGGAATGTGGATCCTGCCTGGAAGCAGGTGCTGCTTGTAACCCCCCACCCCAAACATCTGGAAGCTCATCACCTCCTGACTGTGGGGTCACCTGTCCCAGGAGTGCAGTCCCCATTTATCTGCCTGTACAGATCATCTCCTCCTTGGGCTTTAATATTTTTAGCCCTTTCACACCAGCAGCTAACAAGGAAATGTCCAGCTCAGGTGTCACACACAGAGAAGAGGTGATGGGGCTCATCCAAGGGCGGTGGGAATGTGTTCCCAGAGCACTGCCTGGGACCCCTCCACGACAGAGGCGAATCTTGGTGTCGCTGCTGCCAAGTCCTTTATCCTCCCCTTACGAAATATTCCAGGGAAATGTGTGTTTCCAGCACAGGCACTGAGGTTTTGCAGGAGGGCAGAGCACCCTCCCCATGCCTGGTGGCCTCAAGGAATGATTTTCCAGGGGCTCTGTCCTGTCTTTGTGCCAGACCCTGCTGGGAAAGCCCCAGTTGGCATCTCCCATGGGATGAAACACCTTCCAGGCTGGCTGGAGCCTGGATCCAGCAGTGTGCCAGTGCTCCCTGCCCAGCTGGGCAGGGTGGAGCAGGGTGAGCTCCCCGGGATGGAGAAGGCACAGCTGATCAGCCGTGACTCAGCGCTGCCCCGAGCGTGAGGAACGAGGGCTGACCCCGTGCCAAGGGGCAAACCCTGCTCCCGGCTGTCACCTGGCACTGCCCAGCCCACAGGAAGCACAGGTGCTCCCAGGCAGGCACAGGCAGGTCCTGCCAGGCTCACAGACCGGGGCTGGGCTTGGTCTGGCTGGCTGTGAGCAGCAGGATTTGGTCCAGGACAGGCACTTGGATATCTGGGTTGGGACGCCTGTGAAAGGGGCTGAACATAATCCAGGTGTCCAGGAGTTCTGTTTAGAGGAGGGAAAAGAGGAGCCCAGTCATGTGGAGCTGTGCCAGAGGAGGGTTAGGTTGGATCTCAGGAAGAGGTTCTTCTCCCAGAGGGTGGTTGGCACTGCCCAGGCTCCCCAGGGCAGTGGGCACGGCCCCAAGGCTGCCAGAGCTCCAGGAGGGTTTGAACAATGCCCTCAGGGACAGGGTGGGATTTTGGGGTGTCCAGGAGTTGGACTTGATGATCCTTGTGGGCCCTTTCCAACGCAGGATATTCCATGGTTTTATGGTCTCTCCGGGATGTTTGGGCACATCATCTGGGGGCCAGAAGTGACACAAGTGACACCAGGCAGCCCCCCTGCATGGAGCAGGACTGGGGGGCCCAGAGCCTGGCCCTGTGCAGGCTGTGCTCCTGCATTCCTGCTCTGGGGAGCAGGATACAAGGCATTTTTCCCTGGGTAGTGGGCAGTCAACATCATGGATAATTGCAGGAGCCTTTTCCTGGAGAAGGGGCTTTTCCCCTTGTGCCCCGTGTCCCTCTTGGATCCCTTCCCGGCTCTTTTCTCCAGCCCTCAGCTCCTTGGCTGTCCTGTCCCCCTGCTCCAGGCACAGGCAGGTTGTCCCCGGGTTCCGAGGTGATCGCGGGAGTTTTTGGAAAATGCTTCCACCTCGTGGTCCTCTGGAGGAACGACTGCCTGGGAAACGCCGGGCTGCTCCCCTGAAACACGGAGAGACGCAGAACCCGGGCCGTGCTGCCCTCTCTGCTCGCTCCGGTGCCAGGCTGAGCCGGGGCATCCCTCTGCTCAGCCCTGGCACTGCCCCGGCGCTGCTGCATCCAGGGACGGGCGCGGGCGCATCCCGGGGGACAAGCACGGGCTGTCCCCGGGGCTGAGGAGGAGTTAAAGCACCCCGTGGTCTGTTCAAACCCAGTCCTCCCAGTGCTCCCAGCCCACGTGTGCTCACAGAGCTCAGCCCCGGGGACCGGAGCTGCTGAACCGGTTCTGCCGGGGGACAGCACCGCCACTCCTGGGTCCCCTCCAAACGCTGCCTGTGCAGGCAGGTGGGGTGGGGAAGGAGTGGAACGGCCTTGAGTGCACGGTGGGAAGCACCAGGCACCTTGGTACTGCACCAGGCAGCCTTCCCTGGCTGGGAAATGCTGCAGGGGGGGGGGATCACGGCCGGGGGGGGGGGGAGGGGTCCCTGTCCCTGTCCTGCTTCTGCCACCAGCACGGTCTGAAACGCTGAGAAAGGCGCTTCTGCTGCACTCTGGGAGATCCCTGATCTCCAGCACTCCAGGAAAAAAAACATCAGCTTTCCCACAGATCTCCTGCTAGGACATAGAGTTTTTCACAGAATCACAGAATCCTCAAATACTTTGGGTTGGAAGGGACCTTGGAGACCACCCAGTGCCACCCCCTGTCATGGTTCCACTGTCCCAGGCTGCTCCAACCTGGCCTTGGACACTTCCAGGGATGGGGCAGCCACAGCTTCTCTGGGCAACCTGTGCCAGGGCCTTCCCACCCTCCCAGGGAGGAATTCCTTCCCAATATCTCATCTAAACCTCCCTTCCTTCAGCTTAAAGCCATTAAAGCTGTTCTGGCTGGGTTTTGTGCAGGATCAGGATGAAACACCCGCAGTTTTTGTCCCAGGCCACAACTGTTACACTTCACATTAAAGGTTTTTAAGACAAATGATCCCTCTCTTGCAATTCTCAGGCGACGTCTCGTTTCTCCACAAACAGCCTCCTGCCCCTGCTGGCAGGTGGATTTTGGAGAAACCACTTAAAAACCTGGCAGAGCTTTCTTTCCCCACATGCTGCTACAGGAACCAGGTGGGCCTTTGTGAGAACACTGGGATTTAGGGCAGCTGAAACATCCCCAAGGATGGATTAACTGTCCCTCCTTTCTGCCCTCCGTGGAGCTCAGCAAGTGCTAGAGAAATCCAGCTCAGAATGTGTATTTTAGAGGATGTAAACCCTCTTTTACAAGCAGTTTTCTCAACATTCACTGCAGCCGAGCTGTCCTGCAGCTTGCAAGGCTGTGAACCCCCTGCAGGAAGGGATGTTCTGCTCACCTGTGCCTGTCCAGCAGCAAACACAACCTGACCACATCCCTGATCCTGTGAGCATCACATTTCCCCCCACACACACACACACTCCAGCTTTGCAGGAACTCACCACCCTGCTCATCCAAGTGCTGGGGTGACCTGTCCCTCGGGAGCAGCACCAGAAATCCCTATTTGGCAGCAGTTCTCCGTTTTCCTGGGGGTTTGCCAGGTCACCAAGGTGTTTAACTCCAGCCAGCAGTGCCCCAGGTCCAGAGGTGCTGCCGAAATCTTCATCCTGTGCATCAAACAAATGGTGAAGTCCTCAGTTCCCACACAGATAATGGGATGCTCTTGCAGCCTCGGGGTCTACTGAGGAATAAAACACATAGAAGGAATTCCCTGCTGTCCCAAGGATCCCCTCTGCCCAAACAGAGGTGAGTGAGTGTTTGCTGGGCATGAGTAAGACTCAGCTTTGTTTTGTAACAGTGGTGGTGTAAAGTGATTATGTTTTTAGTAGTTTTTGCTTTTATTAAAAACCAAAGTCCACGAAGGTGGCAAATCCATTTGTGCAAAACACACCGGGATTGTTCCCTCTAGCGCCAGGGAGAGGAGCAGAGTGCCATGGCAATGCTGCAGTGGGGTGGCAGAGCGGGGTCAGAGGTGGGCAGTGCCCTCAAACCCTCACTGAGGCGGCAGCTGCTTCCCCACAACCAGGAAAGGGGCTCCCCATCCCTGATCCTGTGGAGACTCTGCACAGAAGTGACATCCCTGCTGTCACAGCCAGCACCACACGCAGCAGAAACCTTTCAGAAGACACAACCAGGCTGCTCGTGTCCCATTTGTGCTCACACAATCCCTGACCCAGCCTCAGCTTGAACAGTCTGCGGAGTGAAAGCCGTTCCCGGGAGGAATTGGGAATTAATGCAGCAGAGTGAGCAAACCTGCAAAGCACAATACATGTGCTTGGAAATGGTGGTACCCCAGGGACACAGCGTGGCTCCTTGTCATCACACAGGGCTGGACTAATTTCTCGTGTCGTAAAGGACCTCAAATTTTGCAAGAAAAGTGGTTTTGGTTGCAGTGGAAGCTTTGCCAGCGGGGCTTGAGTGAAACTCGGCGGCTCCACTTGTGTTTGCAGAGAGCCTGGGGGAGCAGCCCTGCACAAACGCTGGATTCTCCCGCTGCCACCGCTTTAGACATTCAGCTTTCACCCGGCAAGATCCATCCTGCGCGGGGCCGGCAGGTAACAGGTAGGCAGGGTTTGAAGAAGGCTTATAGCCGGCTTCCTTTTCCCGGGAACACAACGCGGGGAGAGAGGCATCTTTAAAGGCAGGACACGGCCCCTGCTCTCCTGGCCGGGGCTCAAGAGAAGATCGCTCCCCGTTAATGAGAAGGAAGTCGGGAGCGGCGGGATCGGGAAGCGCTTTGTTCAGCCCATACGGCCAGTTGGCACGTCGGGACCTACCGGGGGTTAATCAAAAGGCGGTGAGAAACCTGCCAGTCGCCATACGAGCCGCCGTCCCGAGGAAATTAAAAAATCAGGCACCATATGCCGCGCGGGCCCCGGGAGGAGGGAGCGGAGCGTCGGGAGCGGCGTCCGCATCTGCCCGGGGCGGGTGCGCTCCGGGCCGGCAGGGAGGGAGGGAGGGAGGGGGGTCCGGCACCTTCTGCCCCCGCCCTGCCGGGCAAGGACAGCGCCGGGGAAATGAGGGGAGCCGAGGGGAAGGATGACACATGTTCAGCCCGGCCCAGTGGCAGAGCAGCCGGCGAGGCAGAGCCAATGGCTGCTTTTCATGCTCAGTGAGTCCGTCCACCTCCACCCCCCCCTCCCCGAGTCCTTAAGTTGCAGCTTTTAACTACCTCGGTGTTCAAAGCAAATATGATGCTCAGCGTGAACAGAAGGAAGAGCCTGCTGACAGGTAGACAGCATGGACACTGATCCCGGCAGGGCCGGCTGCTGAGAGAGGTACGTGCTTTCCAAGGCAGGGATCCGAAAGCAATCACATTTGGGATGCAAACTCGGAGCAGACTTTAATTTTCCAGCAGGGGGAATATGGAAATCTGGCTCGCTCGAAATGATTCATCCCCCCTCCCTCCCCGTTCCCACCACCGCCACCTCCCCTCCCCCTGCGTCCTCTCCCCATCCCTCCCGGCACAAACGCTTGGCCGCAGCCTCTCCATCCTTCTGTTGGGGGTCCTGGTGCTCCCCGCTAAAATCGAGAGCGGAGGTTTAAGCGGGACCTGGGGACGGGGTGGTCCCCGCGGGGTGGGTGGGCTCGGGAGCCGGGACACGGGCAGGTCGCCTCATGCCAGAGGCTGAGCGGGGATCCCGGCTGGCAAAAACCATCCCTGGGGAGCCGGCAGTGCCCGGCCCAGCTCACGGGAGGCTCCCGAACGGCCGCTTTTCCCTGACAAGTGTCAGGCACCCGGCGCTCCCAGCGGAGGGAGGGGAGGGCCGGGGGGAGCAGCGGAGCAGGGCCGTGGCAGAGTTAAGCTCCCCTCTCCAAGGGCTTTGTGCTCAAAGACGACCCTGACCCAGCGTTAATCTCACCCATGTCCCCTGCCCTGAACTGGTCTGGAGAGGGGAGGGGGAGGCCTGGCCTAAGGATGTCTTTTCCAGACACTGTTGCTGGTTGTGTGAGCTCAGGTTGTGTTTGCTGATTCGGGGGAGACCCTCTCGTTTGTCTGGAGTGTGTCCGACCTCTGCGTGGCTGTTGCAGACAGAGGGTCCCCCCACACGTCTGGGTGGCACCTCTGGGGAGGCAGAGGGAGGTGGGGGTGACACTGGTGTGACAAAGCCCCTCGTCTGGTGGCAGAGGAAAGTGGCTTCTCTCGCGTTGCCGTGTGGGAGGTGTCGGGACTTGCCGCTCCCGGGATTTCTGTGCAATTCCTTCTCACGTTTATAAACACAGAGCTGTTTTCTCAGGCACGTCCAGGAGAATTAAAAAGGGGGGAGTTGTGGGGGCTAGCAGGATCTCCCTGCCTCCTGGGTAGCTTGGAAGAACTTCGATGGGCTTGAGAAGAAGAGGGGAGCCGTGGTGTGCATCCCCTGAGCTCGGCTTTGCTCTGCCCCACCCCGGGGATGGACACAGGGCAGGGTCCTGAGCCAGGGCTGCTCTCAGCGGCCCCGTTTCCCATTTCCACCCTCCGTGCTGTTGGAGCTGATTCCTGTGTCTGTGCGAGTATAAACGCTGTCGAACAAATCCTTCCTGGCGGTGATGCCATCAGGTGGCGCTTGGGAATAGGCAGCGTCGCTGTGGGAGTCTGGAGAGGGAACACTTGTTGCTGTGAGCTGCACATTGACAGGGCACGGGGAGACGGGGCACCCAGAGCCCCTGGGAGCTGCACAGGGAAGAGAGAACAGGCAGATGGGACACCCAGAGCCACTGTGAGCTGCACAGGGAACAGGAAACAGGGAGATGGGACACCCAAAGCCACTGTGAGCTGCACAGGGAACAGGGAACAAGGAGATGGGACACCCAGAGCCCCTTGGAGCTGCACAGGGAATAGGGAACAGGGAGATGGGACACTCAAAGCCCCTGGGAGCTGCACATGGCACTGGGAACAGGGAGATGGGACACCCAGAGCCACTGGTCACCCAAGGCCACAGCTCTGGAGGTGACACCGAAAAAGAGGAAAGACTTTCTGCAGGTGCTGGGAGGGAGGTGGGGATGGGAGCATGAGCGTGGAAAGCTTTTCCTCTCAAAGCTTTTCCTCTCTGCAAAGGTTGTTTTTAATTATAGACTATTTCAGGTTTAGGGATGTCTGGCGTGTGACTTCAGCCCTGTCACCTCCGAGGCTTTGCTCACAGGGATGGCTCTGTCACAGTGTGACACGGGTCTCTGAGGGAGGCTGCCCAAGGTAAAAGTTTCTGTGCAGTCTGGAGAGCTCTTGGACTCTCGGGAACACTTTTATGGTCAGCCAGATGTGTTCAGGGCAGAGCAGAGTGTTCCCCTGTTGTCTCATAAACCCGCTGCTCCTGTGTGGGGCTGCCCCAAACTGGCCTGAGCCATCCTGAAGGGCTGATTAGAACTGGGCTTAGGGAACCACCCATCCCAGGGCACAGAGTTCACCAGGAGGGCCCACACTCAGCAAGGTCCTGTGCAAAGCAGCCAGGAATGGCTGTGGGTACACCCAGTGGGGCACAGTGCTGTCCAAACTCATCTGGTCCACCCCAAATCCCACCTGCATCGGCCCCGGGGCTTGGGGGCTGTTTCTTTAGAGAGCTGCTCATCACTTCCAGGGTCAGAGAGGGTTTGCCACCCCCCCCCCAGGGCCGACACAGCCCAGAGCACAGCCCAACCCTCCTTCCCCTCAAGGATAACCCTCCCACTGACTTCAAAGCCAAGGCAGCTTGGGAGGACAAAGAGGAGCATTGTGACTGACAGCGCTTGGGGACACCGCGCACGAGTTGTTTGCGGAGATCCCAAATCCAAGAGCATTTTTGCAGCTCAGCTTAAGTGTGCAGAGAGCAGGCAGAGAGCCGAGGAGGAAAAGAGCTGCTCGAACTAAAGTAAGAGCATCCACATGGGGGTTTGCATCCAGATTCACTCCATTAAATCCGACGCAACTTCCACACGGAGACGAAAAGCTCAGGTGCAATCCCAGCTCGGAGGCTGCGCCGGGAACGGGGACCCGGGCGCAAGAGGCTTCAGCAGCAGCTGAACCAGCGCCTTTGGGTGCCCTCGGCGTGGTGCAAGGCACGGGACGAGGTTGATCCTGGCTCGGCTCCCGCGGCTCTCCCGCCTGCCCGTCGTGCCGGGCGGCTCATCCCGGGGGTGGGAGCGGCCGCAGGGCTCCCTCTGGAGCTCTCGGCGTTCGCAGCCCCGGCTCCGGCACAAGGGAGCACGTCCCCTGTTAATCAGCATTTAATTAAAGGACATGCTGACATTTGGAAACCAGAAACAAGTCTCCTGTGTGGGCTGCCTCTCTCTGCCGCTCGCCTCTTCTCTGAATCACTCCCTGACATTTTGCCAGATTAGGATGTGACTCTCTCTCTCTCTCTTTCTCTCTCTCTCTCTCGCTCCTTCCTTATAAAAATAAATTGAAAAGGAGAGGCAAAGCCAGCGCTGCTCCTGAGGGAGAGGACACAGGGGACGGGGATTCGCTGGGGAAAAGCTCCCGTTATTCCTGGTCCTACAAAGACCCTGATGTGGGGCAGGACAGGGATGCTGAGGCGGGGGGTACTCACCGTGTGCCCGCGGGGCAACTGGTTCTGCCTCTCCAAAACCACTCGGAGAGCCCGGTCCCACGGCAGCCCGGGGGACGGCGCTGAAGGAATCCCAGGCGGGAGGTGTGGGTGCTCGGCAGGGAAACAGGGAGTCCCTTGGAGACTTGGAGAGCCGTGGGTGGGGCAGGAGGGAAGGACGGGGATGGGGAGACCCTTGGAATGACCCCGCTCCCAGCATCACTCTGGGCGCCAGGTTAGGGGCAGGGGGGTGAACCCTGGCTGGCAGCACACGGGGACGGGACAGGCGGGCTGAAGGGCCCCTCTTCCCACGGACCCCCAGGCAGGACCCACCTTTTCCCTCAAGTTTCCACTCACCGGCCACCACCCCGCAGTGAAGCCCCCCCTGTGCCCGTCACATCCCCCCCGTGTGCCCTCCTGTGCACACCCGGTGAGCCCGGCATGGACCCCACATGTCACCCCCCGCGTGTCCCTGTGTCCCCCCATGTACCCCCCCTGGGAATCCGCCCCGTGTCCCCCGCGTGTCCTCCCGTGTCCCCCCCTGTGTAACCCACATGTACCCCCCTTGTACACCCCGTGTGTCCCCCCCGTGACCCCCCGTTCACTCTGTGCGTGTCCCACCCCCCAGTGCCACCCCCCCGTCCCCCCATCGCGGGGCCGGGGGTCCCTTCCCCTCCCGGCCCTGGGGCGGGGGGTCCCCCGGCTCGTCCCTCCACCCACCCCCGCAGGGTCCCACCGTGGTGTGTCCCCCCCCCCTCCTCCCGCACCTTCTGCCGCGCTGAAACGGGGCCAGCGAGTCTGTTTATCTGCTCGCCCATTCCCGAGCTGGGAAATGCAAACAGCAGCGAGCGCCGGGGGAAGGGGGGGATTGGGGGGAACCCTCACCGTTCGCTTCCCCTCGGCTGCTCATTTCAACCTTCTTTCAAGCAGAAATTACTCACATTAATCAGGAGTGGGAATGTGTTTGCAGCCCTGCAGATTTGGCAGCGCGGAATCAAATTCCATCAGTAGCAGCAGGAGGACGGGAGCCTGTATCTGCTGTGCACAGCCTAATAGAGCCATTGCCGGGGGAAATTGGATCCGAGAGCTCCCCTAAATTAATCTACCCTTTAAAAAAATGCCAGGAGATCTACATGACAAATGAGCGTTTGCAACGGAAACAGATGCAAACACCCCGCGCATCCCATCGGGCTGGAGCTGCCCCGGGGCCGGCAGCTGCGGGGGGAGAGGGACCCAAAAAACCTCCAGGAACTGGGTCCCTGGACCTGCAATCCGGGTGGGGAGAGCTGCGGGAACAGCAGAGAGGAGCAAAACTCTTTAACAGATCATTAAAGGCTCACGGAAAGGAAGGGAGGGGTTTTTGTCCCAAATCTGGGTTCTTTCACCCAATGTGCAAGAAGCTGATCCACACACGGGGTTGAGGTGTTTGATTTATTCACAGGTCTCTGCAGAAAGGGGTGCTGGGGGGTCACCCAAACTCTGCAATAATCACAGAACAGTTTGGGTTGGAAGGGACCTTAAAGATCACCCTGTTCCACCCCCTGCCACGGGCAGGGACACCTTCCACTAGCCCAGGTTGCTCCAACCTGGCCTTGGACACTTCCAGGGATGGGGCAGCCACAGCTTCTCTGGGCAACCTCTGCCAGGGCCTCCCCACCCTCCCAGGGAAGAATTCCTTCCCTATATCTGACCTAAATTTCCCCTCTGTCAGTTTGAACCCCTTACTCTTTGTCCTGCCACTCCAGTTCTTGAGGAACAGACCCTCCCCATCTTCTTTACAGCCCCTTCAGGTGCTGTGAGGTCTCCACACAACCTTCTCTTCTCCAGGCTGAACAGCCCCAGCTCTCTCAGACCCTCTCCTGCTCCCCACGGCCGGGATCAGTGCTGGGAGCTCAGAGCCATCCCCAGCACGGGCAGAGGTGCCATGGGGCAGCCAGGAGAAGCCCAGCGAGGCAGAGCCAGGGCTGTGGGGCAGCAGCAGGTGCTGCCAGGCTGCTCCCACCACCATCCCACCGTGGCAGGGGGGAGATCAGGGCAGGGGGGGGTTCCCGGGGTCCTGGCTCCGTGCCGGGGGTTGGGGCGCAGCTGCCACGGCTCCTCTGCTGTAATAGAGCTGCTGCTGCTGCTGCTCCAAGGTGATTGCTGCTTTATTGGCTTATTTTTAGTCGTGTGGCCGCGTTGGGAGCAAGATGGATGGGGCTTGTCTTGCCTTGGGAGAGACTTTTGTTGCAGCAGGAGCCCGGGCACGAGGCGGGAGCGACTGCTCTGAGAGCTGCCTTGGAAACGGGGGGAGTGAAGCTCCCCGGGGCAGAGAGGAGCTCTCCAGCTCCCCATTCCTGCCCCAGGAAGGGTCTGTAGGGTGGGCATAGAGGGGCCAGGCCGGGTATGTGGGCTGCTTGATGCTGGGCAGTTACCTCCAATGGAGGACCTCCAGTTGTGGGGGGTCCTACAGACACATAGAAAAATCCAAGGACCCGCGTGGTGGTCAGGGGCTTGTCTGCCCTGAGGGTCTCCCATTCCAGGGGTCTGTCTTCTCACAGTCAGACAGCAGGAATGCTGCTGGGCTCACCTCCAGGAGATGCTGATCCCTGGAGGGGAGGGCAGTGCCCTGCTCTGTGTCCCAGCTCCGGGTGCGAGTTGGGTTTGCAGCCCAAGCGGAGTTGTGTGGTTGCAACTGGGAAAATAAATCTTTCCCTGGCGATTTTTGCTCCCTGATTAGATGTGCTGCCATGGGGTTTTGTTGCAGGAGGTCTGTTCTGTTGCCTACAGAAAAATCCAGGGCCAAGTGTTGGGGTTTTATGGTGGTGGGAAAGCGAAAACACCCAGGGAGCTGGATGAGGAAGAGTGTGACCTCGTTTAAAGGATCAGGAGTGTGTGGACAGTGTGTGGCAATAATTGGGTGTCTCTGTGTCCCCCCCAGTCTCATGGGGATGGGTGCTGCCCAGGGAGCAGAGCCTGAGCACCCAAGCTCGTGTCCCCTGGTCCCGTGGCTGCTCCTGGAGTGGTGGGAACTGTGGCCAGCGAGGCCACAGGGAATATTGATTGGTTTTCCAGTGTAACCTGACAGAGCCTATTCTGCTGATGTAATGAAGATGGATGATCCCATCCTCCCTCACTGGTGCTTTGGGGAAAGGGAAAATTATTTTCTGAATCCTGGAGGGATGTGCCAGAGTCCTCCTGTACCTCAGCTCATTTCCACAGCTCTTGCTGGTTTTCTCTGCTTTCCATCCTCATGGTTCTCTGCCTTCCCGTGCCCCAGCACTGCACTGTCTCATCCCACCACATGGATCTGGGGCTCAGGCTGGGGAGCAGCTGAGCCTGGTCCAGACCATGAGGGGTGCAGACCTTGCTGCTGGGATGAGCTGGGAGAGGCCTTGTTGCAGGTGGAATTCCTTTTCCCGTGGTGGAAAGCTCTCCCACAGGGCCTCACCACAGCCAGAGTCACGATCCAGCCTCTCTCCACATCTCATCTCTCCCTCCTCCTCTGCCTTTGCTCCGTTCCTCCTCTTCTTCCTTTGCTTCCCCCACCAGTGTCCGCTTGCACGTGCGTCTCCTCCTCGGGGCTGAAGCAGCCCAGCAGCCCTGGGCACCCCAGCTGCCAGCCCAGCTTGCTGCAAACACATCCCACCTCCCACACACGGGCAGATCTCCCACTGGGAAGCCCAATTCCCGAGCCCAGAGCCTCATCTCTGGACCTGTTCAATGCCAAGTGAGGTTGATGAGCTCCTTCCACAGCCTGACCTGAGCGTTTGGGAAAGTGCAGCCTGACCAGCAGTGATGAATCCACCTCTCTACTGTGACACCAGGCTCAAGCACTGACGTGGCACAAGGCACTTATGTACAGTCATAAAAGTGATTTAAAATTGGACAGGGGTTTAAAAGAAAAAAAAACAAACCCCAAGCTCACCTATTCTCGGGTCTGTATTTCTCTCGTAGCCTTTACCCTTCAGGTTTCATGTTTTCAGGCTTTTCTCACCAAACAGCACAGTTGGAAATGCTCCAGTGTTTTTCTATCAGAGCTGAGAATCCTCCAGAATCACGGGGCTGTGGGAAGAAAAAGAAGCACCAACTGCTGGAATGCACGAGGTGTGATCTCCAGAGCCGCCAGCACCTCTGCAAAGGAACCATCCCTGCTTCAGGAATCTTGCTGTCCTCTGTCAGATCCAAACCCCAGTGGCTTCACAGACCTGGCATTCCAGGCACCTCCCTCACTTCCAGCTGAGCATCCATCCCGGGAAAACACCCTGTCGTGGAGCAAAGATTCCCAGGGATGCAGAGCCCCAGTGATAACCACAGCCCACGGGTTAAAACTCAGAGCCTGTTGAGGCTGTTTTTGGGTGGGATCTCTGGCATTCCAGCCAAGTTCTACGAGGGGATGAATAAATTCTTGTAAAACCGAGGGGAAATAATCCTGTAGCAAACACGTGGCACCTTTTCAGCCTCATGAGTCCACTTGGATATTCATGGCAGGGCAATTACTCTTTTTCCCAGCTCAGGGAACTAATTTCCCAAGTAGCACAACTCCACCACCAGAGGAGAGCTGGTCATGGCATTAGGGAGGAGGGGAAACCACAGTGCTCGGTGATTTTGAAGTAAATACTTTAAAAATAAGGCACCCCAAGCACCTGCAAACAAGGTATGAACACAACGAAGAACCTTTTTGGTGGCATTTTTGTAGTGGGGTCATTTTGGGGAAGAGCTTTGGAGGGTCCAGGTTGCCGGGAGCACATCCACGTGTTCCACAGCCACCTTTTCCTCCTGCTCCCAGCAGACAACTTCAGCCAAACATCTGGCAAAGCTGTGGCCCGTGGCAAGCCAGGCTGACAGTTCCTGGGAGATCAACCCCCCCGAGCACCATTCCTTGGTGGGAGCTCACTCACAAAGGCAAGAAACGGAAGCAAATCTTACATGACACATTTATTTTTGTCATCTATTTATTAGCTCAGAGCAAAAGTCCTGCTGCGCTGCATTCTGGGGATTATGCAAATGAGGGACATCAAGACAATTAAAAAAAAAAAAAAGCCCAAGTGAGCACAATGTCAGAGCTGGAGCAGATGCTGAGGGGCAGCACAGCCCTCCCTGACCGCTCCTGGCCTGCTCCAGATCCAACATATCATCCCATCCAAACCCTCCCCGTGTGGACAACCCAGCCAAGCAGCTCATTAGGCCCAGCAGTTAACGAGGTGCCCAACACACCTTCCAGGGTGTTGCCCTCATCTGTAGCCCCCAAGGATGTGCAGGATGGACCCTGCTGTGAACTCATCCCGTCACAGCTCTCACCTCGATCGCTGCGGCCAAAATTAACAGTTAAAATTGGATTTAAGGGGTCGTTTAGGGGGCTGCCCACAGGGCAGAGAGCAGAGAGGCTCCTTGTCCCCCCAAAAGGGCCCTCCTGTGTCCCCAGGGGGGAGCAGCCCCGGTGGAAGGTGAGGTAATGCCGTGCTCATGCCGGGTCGGGCGCTGCCACGGGAGGAGGATCTGGCGCCCAAGCCTGGCTAAATCCCCACTGAATCACCCGTTGTTACACTGACAGCTCGGGATTTAGGAGAGCTAAAGTGGATGGGTAGCAATGAGCTGGGGGAGGAAAAGAGGAAAAAAAAAAAAAGGTCCCAAATCCGACTTGTCTTTGCTTTGCTTTGCCAAGCCCCGGAGGACTCGGGATGTGTGTTTGGGATTTAATCCTGTCTGAACCCCTCTAGTTTGAGACAGAGGTGGAGGGAGAGCTTAAGGCGGCTGAAGTGCATGTCGAGAGCTGCTCCCAAGGACAGCTCCTGCCCCGGCTGCTCCTGGAAGCGGGAAAACGCTTCCCGAAAGCCTGTGGAAGAGCACAGGCAGGCTGGCGCTGGGAGACAGGCAAAGGCGCAGGGAACAGCCAGGGAAACCCGCTCGCATCCCCACTCCGCTAATTACACTCATTAGGGAAGGAATGCTGCCTCCGATTTCGAGCTCCACCAGCTATTTTTAATCCCCCTGCCTGCTGAAAGCGCGCACCGGAGACCTCGGGTGGGTTTTTTTTTGGTTTTCTGGGTTTTTTTTTCTTTTCTTGCTAGAGACGGAGATTTCTCCTCCCAGGTCAGAGGCTCTTTTGTGTCTGCTCGGCTGGGAGACGGGGCCGGAGACAAAGCAGGAAGGGAGAAAGAG